CCTTTTTAGATTATAAATACATAATTCTAGAAAAATTCGATACAGAAATGTGTGAAGCAGAAAGTGAAATTTCTCTCATTATCTATCATTGTACCTAATACTATAAAAAACTTTAAATGCTGAAATGTATAAAGTAGAAAGTGAAACTTCCCCTTCATGCAACCCACCAGTGATACATAATACTAGGTAAGATTTTAAACTTTTGTTAAATTGCAAGCAAAATTCCCCTACAATGCTGTCTGCCAATAGTAACCACTGTTAGTTTTAGTTTGCAGTCTCCCAAGTTGTGGTGTTTTTTTTTCTTTTTCATTTCAGTGGCATGTGTGTGAGTGCGTATGTGTGTGAGTGTGTGCGTGAGTGAGATTTACCGAAATGGAATTGTACTATAAATACAGTTGCCCAGCTTTCTTTTTTCACTGACTAATGTGTTTTGATTATGTTTCTATAATCTAAGCATTTTCCAGTGTCACTGAAACACTTATTTGAATGGTATTTCAATGGCCCCGTAGTATTTTAACATTCAGATGTCCTCTGTTTTATGTAGTTACTTCTCTAAGGCTGCCAGTTTAGATCTAAGTAAATACTTGTTCACATTTCAGATTCTTTCCCTAAGCCAAGTCCCAGAACACACCCCCACAGAGTCAGAGAGAAACATCGGCAAGTTCCCTTTCCACAGAGAGTTCATGGTTCTATACTCATCAGTGGTTTACGGAAATGTGCGGTGACGGCAATCGCAAGCGACTGTCATCACTTAAGAAAAATCCTTGTTGATATCCGAAGTGTAAAAGCCCTTGTTGGATTTGTGTTTCTTAAAACGCCAGAAGGCTCAGCAGTTTGGCACGTTTAATGACCTTCCCTGATGCTTTTGGAACAGAGGTAATCTGCCCTCTGTTAAAGCAAAACATTAATTGCCAGCTCAGATTCTTTAGAACTTCTGGGACCTGTTCTTGGACCCAGAGCTGGGCATTCTGTCCCAATGGGTCAGAAGCCTCCTGCTCCTTACCTCTCTTGAGTACTGTGGGGTTTTTAGGTGGCCTGCTGGCTCCCTCTAGTGGCTTCACCGGCAGCTGCAGCCTCACCTCTCTTGTCATCTCCGTGGGAAACCCCAGAATGGAGTAATTACGTTCAACTTCCGTGGCTGTCAGGGGTTTCTGTTAGTGAACCCTGAAATCGCTTAATTATAAGCGCTTATCTCATTACCCTAGTTTAGCAGAGTTAGGAAATACTTGTGAAGGTTCTGGAACTTTCTAGAAGTGCGGGTAACTAACTTTGAAGGAAGGACAGGGAAGAAGGTTTGGAGAGCTGAAGACCCGTGGCCTTCTAACACGCCCCACTGCCATTGCCATGCTCCTCACTCTGGTAGTTTGTTTCAGGCTGAATAATACAGTCACTGCAGGAAAAAACAGTTAAAACCCCCATTTCCACGCTCTAGGGTAATGCCTGGAACCAGTTGGTGTACATCGGGTGTGTGTGAGCGTGCACAGAATTCTGCAGTCGTGTAAGTGTGTGAATGTGTATACCCATGTCTGCACGCATGTGCGTGCACACACACTTCTGTACCTCCCCTTTCAAGTGTTTTAAGTACGGCTCTGGGTCATTAAATCTCTTTTGGAAAACCATCTTTTCTATGGCTGCATAACAGGATAAATACTGTCATTTATTTTACAGGAACTAGACGTGTGGCCCGGGTCATTTTTAGGCTATTTTACATGATGCTGAGATGAGCTCCTTGAAAGAGCCGACCTTTGATTACGTCCTTAGGATGAATTCTTGCAGCCGAATTTTTGGGTCAGAATAATCTGAACTTTCTAAATTCTGTGAATACGTTTTTTGTGTGACAGCAATTGATTTTTTTAGATTTTAATTGTTGTTCAAGTACAGTTTTCTGTCTTTCACTCCCACCCCAGCCCACTCACCCACCCAGCCCTCCCCATCTCCCTCCTGTCCCCCCCCCCAGTTTTTGTCCGTGTGTCTTTTACACTTGTTCCTGTAAAACCTTTCCCTTTCCCACTGAAATTCCCTCTAAATTCTATGAATACTTAGTACCCGAATTTCTCTTAAACCCTTGTCCCAGGTCCTGTGTGGTGGATGTCTGTCGGTGCCATGGACTCGGTCTGCACGCTGCCCTTCCAGCCTCCACCAGCCCTGATAGCACACGGAATATTATTTTAATTTGCAAGTTTTTTAAAGCATGAGAAATGCTCAGGATTTTTCAGATATTTTCTGGCTGTCCATACTTCTTTTGTCATCTATCTTTGCCTACGTTTGCTGTATTGGACTGTTAATTGGGTTCTTTGCATATGAGGATTAAGTTCCTTTTTGTCCTGCTTTCTCTAGTTTGTCATTTGCCTTTTGTTTTGTATAATTTGTTCTAAAGAAGTTGTGTGTGTGTGTGTTGTGTGTGTGTACAGTTAAGAAACTATAGGAAATAGCTTTACCTACCACCCCCAAAGCACAAACTTTCATAGGTCGTCATTTGGCTTACTGTTTTTTTTTTTTTTTTTATAAAGGAAGTGGGATATTACAGGTAAATTGGAATCATCTGGCTTCCCATCCCGTTCCCCCTTCCCCGGCACAGCTGCCGTCCGGATCGCGTGCCTGGATCCTTCAGTCCCGGTTTTCCTGCTGTTGCCGCACGTACAGGCATTACTAAACGACACGCGGTACTAGTTTGTGTGCGTGCCTCACCTTACACCTGAGGTTATCTGTCACAGGCGCCATTGGGCAGTGTTCCTTGTCTGCACACCAGCGTGTTTAGTGTAGTGACCTGTATGGACCCCGTTCGGTCCTTTTTCCTGCCGCATGGGTCTCATCCCGTGACTCCAGCTCCGAATTCGCCCTCTGCGCATGCACCCTTCTTTCTGTCCTGCTGAACGAACAATGAGGGTGCTTCTGGGCTCCTGGGTCTCTGTTCCAACGGAGCATCTGCCTGTGTCGTGGGTCCTGTGGGTTTTCAGGATTATGGGTTCTTGTGAAATTCTCCCCGAAGTGTCATGCCAGTCAAGCCTGCCACCCTGCCCCATTCCTTGGCAGCAGCGTGAAAGGTTTCCTCTTGTCCCACGGCTTCACCAAGACGTCCTATCGTCGGTTGTAGTGGTTTGCCCGCCTGGGAATGAGATAGCATCTCACTGTGTTTTGATTTGCACGTCCTGACTGCCGGTGGGATTGTACAGCTTTTAAAGTGGTTACTGCCTAGAATTCAACAGGTTTTCTCTTGACCCCCTCCCTTCCTATCCTTTGCCCATGTTTTCCATCAGGTTACTTATCTTTGGCTTGTTGACTGTTGGTGTTCTTTGTGTTTTAGGTGCTAGTACCTTGTTACATGGGTTGCAGCCACCTTCTGGTCCTTTTCCTTCTTCAACTTGGCATTTAATGCCCTTGGTCAGACCATTGCCAAGCTCTCCTAGTATATAGCTGAGTTGGAATTATGTTGTATCCTTGAAGAACGTAGCAAAAACTTGGAACATTAAAAAGTTCTCTAGGAACCAGTCAGAGCCCTGGGGGACATGGAGACAACAGTGGGCCTGACCGCGACAAGTGCCACCATAGGAGGGTCTGCCCGCCCAGGCCGGGAGAAGGGGGCCCTTCCTGAGAAGTGGGGTGCAGAGGGGAAGAGTGGACGGTCAGCCTGAGTCTTCTTCCTTCTTTTCCTAACTCCCCCTTCCACTCCAGCCTCCCGGCCTGCAGCCGTGCCCACCCGGCCAGGGCCCCTTCTGCCTCTGTTCCCCTGGCCTGCAGCCCACCCGACCCCGCCTCTCCTTCTGCCTCCTTGCGGGGAAGCGGTTCAGTCTTTCAACAGCTTTATCCTTTGAACTTTCTTTTATGGTGAGCAGAAGCTCAGATTTTTGATGTTGTATGTACTATTTTTTACTTTCATAAGATGTGCTTTTTACGACATACCTGAGAAAAATCCTTTTCCAGGCCCAAGTCAAAAGCAGTTCCCGGCAGTTCCTTAAAATAGCTTTAGTTTTTCACACGGGTCTTCGACCGTCTTTCGTCGTTGAACCGATTGCCTTCTCTGCGGCTTTTCCTCTGCGTGGGTGCTCTCAGCGTCCTCTTCAGGCTCCGGCAGGGCCCATCAGCAGCCTCTCCGCCGCCGCCGCGTGCTCTGCCTGCTCTGGGGACGCTCAGTGGCTTTCTCTGTGTCCCCGGCACTGTTAATGTGTGCGGCATGGGTGACTTTGGTTTCATGTTGTGGACCCTGGCTCCGGGGGCTTGATTCAGCTGGTGTTTCGCATCCCTCCAGTTTTTGAGACTCCCGTGGAGTCTGTTGGTATGTTTTGTGCCTGGCTCTGGGAATACTCTTGGAGGGGGGCGTGCTGCTGAGTGACAGGCCCCAGGCCTCCCGCGGGCGCTCCCGCTTATGCTGAACTTGTGGCCTGTTGTGGTTTTTCCATAAGGGAGCAAAGGAGCTGGTACAGTGTTCTCGTCGGTGTCCTGGCTGTGTGGTAACTAAAGTTGCGGCCGAGGGGTCAGGGTGCTTTGCATTTTTCCACCCCCCGCTCACCCTATTTAGATCACCGGAAAACAAGAAAAATCTTTATCTTTTCAACAGTGTGTATTTTCTATGTTCAGATGAGAAAAATATCTGACAATAGGAGTTGACCTATTTACAGAAGCTTCCCAGTAGGCTGTCACCAGCAGCCCCGGAGGACACATCGAAGGTGACGGTCCCGCACACCTGTGGGAGGCAGCAGCTTCACAGGAGACTGTTGCTTGGGGTCCCCATTTGTGTGTGCCTCGGCCATCCCGTCACCAAGTGTCTCTCGGCTTCTCAGCAGGATGATTCCCGAGGCAGCCCTCGGCTGTCCCACCAGGCAGCGGCCTCAGTCTGCCCAGGGCCAAGGGCCGCCAGCAGCTTTCAGCAAACCAGAAACTTACCAACAGTTGGCATATTTCGTGTGTCTATTTCTGTTTACAGAGATTCTGGCCTTTGTTTTGTCTTTGTTCACTGCATAGTAACATTTTCTTTTCCCTTTGCCTTTGTGTTTTTTCCTTAGGCCGGAAGCTGAGAGGAAAAGCCTTTTATTTTGTCAACGGCAAAGTGTTTTGTGAGGAAGACTTCCTGGTGAGTTTGTCACCCAAGCCTGCCCTCCCCGAAGTCCTGGCCACAGTTGGGGGTGGGTGCTCACTCTTTTTCTGTAGACGTACAGAGTGGCCTGTGTTCCTGAGGCAAGTGACAAACTGCAGAGCTCTGTGCTTTGAAGGGGCTTGGGGGTCACTCAGCTTGTCCTCTTGTTTTTACCCATTTCTGCCTACCCTGCCCCCATCTCACCCCAAAAAACCTTCCGACTGTGATCCAGGCCCTCCTCATGGCTCACCCGGCCTGCTCCTGTGGGAATCCAGCCTCTCCCATGCACGGGCAGTCTGTCCACTACCAGCGACCGCCAATCTGAGCCCCAGCCCTGTCTGCACCTCTGCAGCCCACCGCTGACATCTCACTGCCCACAGGACAGTCACTGGGCTGTCCCCCAGCTCCTCCCACCACATCTGCCTGAAGCAGAACCATCACCTTAACCGGGGGTCCTTATCTCGGAGAACGGTGTCCTAGGTCCCTCTCTGCCCCTCCTCCTTCCATGTGTCCCAGAATGCAGCCACGCAGGAGCCTTGTGCCATGACGTCCTCCAGGTCTCCATTGCTCCGCGTGTCAGCCGGCCCAGCCCAGCTGGCCTGATGGCCTCCCCCGTGCTGTCTGCCTGTCCTCCTGTCCCAACCCGGCTGGCCTGATGGCCTCCCCCGTGCTGTCTGCCTGCCCCCCTGGCCTGCTGGGCCCTGTGACCCCAGAGTTCAAAGCGTGTGCAGGAAGCTCTCTGCCAGGAGCCTGCCTCTTCTGGCACTGGGTCTCGGCCATGCCGCATGTGCCGTTCACTGCATAGTCGCCCCCTCCTGCCTTAGCATGTGCCTTTTTCCTGCTTGGAATGTCTTCGCCCTTTCTTGGCCGAGTTAGCTCCGGCGGCCTTCCTTGTCCCTCCACCCTGGCAGAGCAGTTAGCACACGGCCTGCCTGTTTACAAGTCTTCCTGTCCCCACCGGACCGTGCACCTCTCTGGAGGGAGGAACATGCTACTTCTCCATCGTACACCATCAGATCCAAGCACAGGGCCCAGCGTGGAGTCGGGCTCAGGGAAGGCAGCTGAACTGAGCCTGTGATTCAGGGATGGGGAATGGGAGACCCCAAGATAGCGGGGGCCTGCTTCTTTGGGGGGTGTGGGTGGGGTCATGAGGACTCCAGGGTTAGGCAAGCAAATCCAAGATGGCTTAGGCAAAAAGGAAAGCCATTCCAGCAGTGCCCTCCGCAGTCATTTTCTCTCCATTTTCGGCCCTGCCTCTCTGTGTTAGCGACAGTCTCCAGCGCTGTGACAGCCAGATGGTGGCAGCCTATCTAGGTGCCATTCCGAGGGCAGACAGCCCTTGGAGTCTCATTGGCTCTTGTTGGGTCACGTGACCATCCAAGGTCACAGAATTGTGGGTGCTGGAGGAATGCGAGGCTCTGATTGGCCAGGGCTGAGTCTGTGCCCTGCCTTGGAACCCAGCAGGGGATCAGCCCACCGGACCCAGAGGTAGGGGAGGGGCTGCGTTCCACGTGAAAATCGGGAACTGCCTAGAAGGAGGGAAGGTGCGGGGCAGCAGAAACCTGCAGTACTGGTGAAGAGTTGTGGCAAGCTTCCCTTTTTCTGTTTTCTACTTGCCTTTCCATTAGTTTTCCCTGTTGTTAAAGTTGTAGTATCTAAACTGTAGTGTTTTCCTGTGTGTGGTCTCTAGTAGGGTTGCTGAAGGGAGTTCCTCATTTCTTTCAAGACTCCAGCAGTGTGTGGTGGGGGGTCTGTATGTGTGTTGACAACGGAAGGTCAGTAATACTTACCAAGTTCCTTTGAAGCCGGCTGTAAAAGGCCTTGGCTTTTTAACCAGAAACTGACTTGAATTTGAATCCTGGACTTACCCCTTAGAGGCCGTGTGACCTTGAGAAGGTCACTTCACCTCTCTGAGCTTCCCTTCTGAGAAGTGGTGTAACACACAGGGTGGAGAATAGTTTTGAGGATTAGCGTAGTGGTCTCAAACGGGAACATGCGTCAGGATCTTCCATGGGGCTCGAAGATTCAGGAAGATTCCATAGGGATCTTCCACAGATTCCGGGGCCCCTGAATTTCCAGTTCAGTAGGTCTGGGCTGGGTTCCACGAATTTGCATTTCTTAAGGTTCCCAGGGGATGCCAGGAATGCGCCTCCTTCAGAACGACCTGACTGGTGAGACTGCAGCCACCAAGGCACACCATGGGTACCCAGGTGTACTTATTGTCAGGGCAGGTAGTGTTAGTATGGTTTTTATGGCAAAGACTATTCCCTGATTCATCACACAGCTGTGTTGTCCTCGGGGGAAATGACACATTCCTGATGGAGTGACACTCCTCGTTATCCTCGGGGATAACGGCAGGGCCGGGTCCCTGCCTGTGTTTTAACTGTCTTTTCTCTCTCCCCTGCAGTACTCTGGATTCCAGCAGTCTGCGGACAGGTGTTTTCTTTGCGGCCATCTGATCATGGACATGGTGAGTAGGGTCCGCCGAACCAGGCAAGAGCACGGAGAGAGGGAGAGGCGTTCAGAGAAAAGAGAAAGTAACTGTGGAGAACCGTTGTTTCCCAGCCTGGCTTGCGGTTGGGGCTGCTGTTACTAAAAGTCGGTCCTGTGCCATGCCGCCCCTTGCTGGCTATAACAGCACCTGCATCCTTGGCCGGTGTTGACACTGGCATCCTCCCCCAGCCAGCCCACACAGTGGGGTGTTTCAGACCATCGTCCCAGCCCTGGGCTGTCCAGATCACACTGGCCTCCATCTGATTTTCTGTGACCCCCACGGCGCCCCGGGTGAGATGTCAGAGGGAGCCTGTCTTTGCCACGGAATGCTCGGCTCCCTTGGAGTCAGGCACACGGACGAAGATGAAGCTCCATGTTCTTCCCCTCTGTCCTGCTCAGTCTGTTCCTGAAACAAGTTTTTGAACCAGCAGAACAAGGAGCAAGTTCTATACATTCTGTTCCTTGTTCAGCCACTGGCTCTCTGTGCTTGTCATATCTCTGTCTCTTCAGTGGGGACAGTTTTTCCTTCCTGCCCTCCTTGTAGGGTAAGGTTGTGGGCTTAAGGGACGCAGAGTTCTTTATTCTGTTTCAGGAATCAAATTGTTTACTGCTGGAGATTGGTCCTGTAGAACTTCTTTAATATAATGGTTAGAGAAAAATGACTATATAACATTTGGTTTTAGTTAGGAAGAGTTAAATTCCTTTCTAAGCTGACCCATGAATTCACTTCTGGAGAAGGGAATTTGCTAAGTGTTGCTATTTTTTTTTTTGCTTTTACATTATTATTGAGCAGCAACTCACAGAATAAAGGGAACACATCTTACGTGTACAGGTAATGGACTTTTACGTTTGCATAAACCCGTGTCAGCACTGCCCAGATCAGGATGAGGGTCACACCCCACGTTCTACACCTGAGAAGGGTCCTCCCTGGCCTCTTCCCAGGCCAGACCCCTCCCCCAAAGGCACCCGCTATTCCAACACCTCTTGCTCCAGGTTTGTTTTGCTGGTCATATAAATGGAAGAACGTAATACAGACTCCTCTGGGGCTGCCTTTTCTCACTTAGGAAAATGTTTCTGAGGTTCATTCATGTGTTAGCTGTGTTGGTAGTTTATTTTCATTGCTAGAAAGAATCCCATTGTAGGGATATAGCAGTTTATCTCTCCATTCTCCTGCTGATGTGAATTTAGGTGGTTTCCGATCTGGGGCCACTCATGAATAAAGCTGCAGTGAACACCCTTAGGCGGGTGTTTGAGGGACATCAACACCCATTTCAGCTGGTTTGGTCTTCACGTGTATGACCCAGGCGAACTGGGGCCGTCCCCATGCTTGAAGACAACTGCCGGCCAGCCAGGCTCTGACTTGCCACGGCAGAGCTCAGCCCGTGAGCAGCGGTGGCCTCGTGAGTAGCCGAGCCTCCCTGGAAACACGGCAGCCTCCACCCATTCCCCAGGGGAGGCAGGCAGGAGCCACCACCCCCCTCACCCCTGCCATCCCCAAGTGCCTGCCAGACTCCACACAGGACACCATTTCCTTAGCAGAATTTGTCCTTGATTTTCAAGTCCTTCTGACAGACCCACCACCTGGGAGGTCAACATTATCCACACTTTTTAGAAAATTTTATTTATTTATTTTTAGAGAGAAGGGAAGGAAGGGAGAAAGAGAGGGAAACATCCATCTGTTGCCTCTTGCACGCCCCCTACTGGAGACTTGGCCCACAGCCCAGACATGTGCCCTGACTGGGATTCGAATCAGTGACCTTTTGTTCACAGGCTGGCGCTCAATCCACTGAGCCACACCAGCCAGGGCACGGTGGCCACATTTTTGAACACGATTATACCCTATTTTTATTTCTGGGTATCCTAAGTCTTCTTTGAACTTTAGGATGTTCCAATTATTTATCGCTATATGACACACCACTCCCAAAACTTAGGTGTAAAACAACAGTGATTTATTACTGATCAGGGCTCAGCGGAGTGTTTCTTCTGCGCCGTGTGGCGTTGGCTGGGGTCACTCTCCCAGCTGCCTTCAGCTGGTGCTGCAGTAGAATGTCCAAGACGGCCTCTCACGCTCCAGGCCTCTCCCCTTGTGACTTCTAATCTCATTCGGTATCTGGCCAGGCCTTCCTTACAGGAAGAGAGAGGAAGCAGAAGCTGCCAGTCTTCTTATAACCTGACTCAGAAATTTCAGGACATCATTTCTTTCTCATTCTGTTGATCGAAGAGTGTCGCAAGACTGGTCTTGATTCAAGGGGAAGGGAAATATTCTTTGCTTCTCGAATAGAGAATCAGCCTATGCACGTGGGGGAGAAAGCAATTGCATTTCGGAGGCAGTCTCTGCCGCACCCGAGCATGTGAACTGAAACCTGGCTTCTCGCAGCCCTTTCCTAGGACTTGAAAACTTTTAGTGGATGTCTATCTACAAGCGATGCCTAGTTTTAAAAACAGAAACCTTCCCTGTCACCCCAAATTACAATGATGCAGAGAAAGATTCCTTCGGATACCATTCTTGGTCCTCCAGCAGAACCCCAAATATCCCAACCGTTTGTGTAAGTTGTCTGTCTGTGCCCCCTTTGTTCATAGAAGGCTTGAGCACTCGGCCTTGCGTCTCGGACCTGGGCGTTTTCCCGCATTAAAGGAAAGTGAAAAAGACCCGACATAAGTGGAAACAGCTACTCGGAGGGCAGCAAATGGCACCTTTATCCTACTGTGCGCCCAGCACACTGTGGGTTAAATGAATTCCCCGGTCTGTCTCTGCCAAGATGGGATCTGAATTGCCAAGTGGACTCTGGAAGCCCAGCTGGTGTTTCTTTTTATGTTGGTGGCTTGAGAGGGGCCTGGGAGGTTTGTGAGACCCCAGAGGGAATGAGGAGGCTGGGAAGCAGGAAGCCCTCCCCGCTCGCTCGCCAGTGGCCTCGGTGTGCAAGGTAGGCTGTGGCCTCTGGAGGCAGCGGCAGGGCCCTGGAGGGTGCCACAACACACAGGTCTCTCGGTGCAGGTGCACCGACAAGGCTTCCCTCAGTTGCGACTCCCCTTCCGAAGGGCCCTTGTGTGACCCGCCCCCCCCCCAGCCGAATACTAATGACCACTCTGTGCATCGCTTGCAGATCAGGTGCTGATTCCGAGGCTCCGAGGTTTGCGCTAAGTTTCGTGGCCCCGGGTATTTGCAGAAACGAATCCCCTATTGAGTCAGCCGAGGTGCTTCCAGGTGCACATTATGGAAAAACCCAGGCTCGTGTTGAATCAGTGCTTCTCAGGCGTCCATGTGCTCAGAATCACGTTATTCAAACCCCCACTGCTGGCTTCACCCTGGAGGCGGTGATTCAGGACATGGGGGGGGGGGGGAGGCCCGAGATGGCGTTTTTAACCAGTTTCTGGGTAACACTGATGCCGCAGGTCCAGGCGTTGCACCTTGAGAGCCACTGATGTAGTAGGAAAGCTGCTCTCTCTCACCTAACAAGAGGGTTGGAGGTGGGCACTTCCACGGTGGGTGAAGTCGCCAAGGATGCTCTTTCCTGCTCGGCTCTCCCCTCCCCTCCCCTCGTGTCTCAGCTCCGCCCTGGTTTCCAGGTGCCCTGTTGCAGGCCTAGGTGTCACGTCCAGATCAAATGACACAGAGGGAGAAGGATTTGGGGCTTTCTCTTTGCTGTGTTTAAGAGCAACAAAGAGGCTTTGCTGTGCTTGAATTTGAGGTGATCAGGGGCTGCGTCACAGCTTCTGGATTATCCTGCTGCCGAATCAAAGCCGCTTAGAAGGAGTTAAGGGGTTTTCTTCAAGCTCTGCATTTTCACAGGGAGTTTCCTTCAACCTTTCCACATATCTGCTGCTTTCCAATCCCTGATGGGTCCTCTCATGGCCCTGCGGTGCATCGTTGTCTGCAAAGAGCCGGAACGCTTTTTGATAGGGAGTCATTTAAATTTCCTCCCGGAGTTTTTATGGATTCGGGAGGAGGATCCTGTTTGGCCCTCTCCTGTTTATACATGTCACTGGATTCAGTTTCCTGCAGTCACTTCTTGACCTTGGTCCCAGTGAAGCTCCGGAGCGAGTGCCTCGCGTGGCGTGGTCACGTGGTCCCTCCGTGCAGTGTTCTCCGTTCCACCGTCCCTTCCTTCCTGTCATGCCACTGAGTCCCAGCCGCGTCCTTTGTGTCCCCAGATCCTGCAGGCCCTGGGGAAGTCCTACCACCCTGGCTGTTTCCGCTGTGTCATCTGTAACGAGTGCTTGGATGGGGTGCCCTTCACCGTGGACTCGGAGAACAGGATCTACTGTGTCCGAGACTACCACAAGTAAGGAGGGCCGGGGGCCACACGTGTAAGCCTCGCCGATGGACACTCAGCAGAGTGCCAGGCGGACACCTGCGGGGTGGGCGTGTCTGCAGGCCGCTTGTCCGGTCAGCCCACAGTCCAGAAAAGGCTTCCTGGGTGAGGAGTGTGCCAGGGGCCTCTGTAGCTCAGCAGATGCCTATGCAGGCAGGAACTGATTAAAGAATCATATTTACTGGGAAAAAAACAAACAAAAACAGATCCAGTCCGACAGGCCCCGTGGCTCCAGCTTTGCCTGATTTCGGAAACCACTAATCCGACTGGCCGCCACCCCCTCGCTGTGCCTGGCCCAGATCAGACACTGTGAGGCGGGTAAGCAGACAGCTCGTTTCTATCCTGAGTCAAGCGAGGGGCCAGGTGTGCTTGGTACCACTGGGGAGTGACCCTGAAGCATTATCGAAGGGGTCCTAGAGGGAGCCAGGCACTGGGGCCGGGCGCGGGAGGGAGGCTCTGGGCAGGCCCCGGCACCAGTGTCCCCGGAACAGTGGGCCTCGCCCTCCGGAAACAGCCTGCATCTCACTGCCTCTCTGCTTCTCCCCCAGGGTGCTGGCCCCCAAGTGTGCAGCCTGCGGGCTTCCCATCCTCCCCCCCGAGGTAAGGTGCTCCTGCAGCCGGAGTCTCCCACGACAGGAGCTTCTCCCTGGGTCGTCCACAAGACCTGTGTCCTCTCCTTAGCGCCCTCACCACGAAGCCCCCGTCCCATTAGCTTTGCCCAGCCCAACGCCCTTCTTGTGTCCCTGTAATCGGGCAAACTCTCAGACCCGACACTAACCCTGGAATGGAAGGGGAGCAGGTGAGCAAAGGGCTGTATGTGGTTTTTTCCTGTTGACTCCCCAGAAGGTAGGGCTCCCGTCCCTCCACTTCTCCCCATAAGTAAATGCATCCTTTTCGCACCGGTGTTAGTGCCCATCTCCGACTTCTGCTCTTCTCCTGAGGCTGCCTGCTTGTTACTCAGACTCCCCCCCACACACACACACCCCTGGCATGTGGAGCCCGAGGGCCCCCCAACTGTCTTGTCATCCTCACTGCTTCTCCGTGCAGGGCTCCGACGAGACCATCCGCGTCGTGTCCATGGACAGGGACTACCACGTGGAGTGTTACCACTGCGAGGTAGGCCCCTCCCTGCCCAGGCCCGCAGGTCCTGATTGGCAGCCCAGCAGGAAGGCGGCCTAGCTGACTATGGCAGGGGACAGTCCTCGAGGTTCGGCCGGGGCGGCCGTCTGAGCTGACGGAGGAGATGGGGTGGGGGTTTTGGGAGAGCAGAGGGTGTGGGGCACAGATAGCTGGATTCCCACCACCAGCTCCGAAGAAATGGGTGGGCGTTGTCAGTGGCACCCCTGGCTCTGGGGAAGGAGGTACAGACACTTGGGCTCGACCGTCCCCTCCACACACCCCGGGCTGGTGCTGTCCAGTGGAGATTCACGAGCCACAGATTCAGGTCCTGTGTGTCGTCTTTTTTCTAGTAGCCTCCTTAGAAAAGGGAAATAAATGGGCGGGATCAGTTTTTGTGATAAAATTTTCTTCGACCCGGAACGTTGTTATTTTAGCATGCAGTCCCCATAAACGTTTTTTGTGAGCTATTTTATATCCTCCTCTTTCCTAAGTCTTAGAAGTCTGGTGTGTGTTCACATGGACATCACATCCCATTTCCAATCAGCTCCATTTCAAGGTGCTCGAGGGTGACACTTAGCTGGTGGCCCCGGCAGGGGACAATGCAGTCCCGACCTCCCCTGGGTTCCGCATTTCCGCCCCTGTAGAATCACACCGCCGCCATCAGGGACGTTGGCCTTTGTGTTCGTCCGGCAGCCCCTTTTCTTTGGCTACCACTGGACATTTTTGCCTCCCCCAGGACTGTGGCCTGGAGCTCAATGACGAAGATGGCCACCGCTGCTACCCCCTGGAGGACCGCCTGTTCTGTCAGTCCTGCCACGTCAAGAGGCTGGAGAAAGGCCCCTCGTCCGCAGCCCCTCACCAGCACCACTTCTAGCCGGAGCCTCGTACAGAGACCTCGGGCAGGACGAGGCCGGGGCTGCGCAATGACCGATCCGCCTGTTGATTCCAGTGGTCCCCGGGGTGGCGTTGGGGTGGGGTGGGAGGGCCTGGCCGGCAAGCGCCTGCGAGCACGCGTGGGGTCCTTTCCTTTCCCCAGTGAGGCCAGCCCTCCCTGTCTGGTGTGTGTGTTTTCCAAGGGCCTTTCTCCACTGGCATGTGCTCATCAGATCGTTCTGGAAGACGCTCCAGCAGGTGGGTGGCATGTGGCAGGGGATCACATCAGTGCAACCAGATGAGCCCGCCTGTCTCCTCCCCACGGGGGCAGGTTCACCCTGGGCATATTTCCCAATATGCCTGGAAGAGAGATTTCAGCTCCCGATCTATTCCACCCTTTTCCTCCCTTTAGGAAAACCCACGCACCTGCCCTCCCCATGGGCACATGGGTGTGCACACACACGTGACTTAAAGCTTCCTTCCACCCCAGGGTGTCAGCTCTTCTGCAGAAGGGCTGCAGATTTCACTTGGTTTATGGCGAGAGGGAAGCCCTGACATGTGCTGAGTCTCTTGGAAAGACTTTCCTCAGTAAACCAGAGCCAGGTGTTGAAGTAGGCGAGACCAGGTGGCCTCCCGTACCCCGACAGCACTGTGCGCGTCCCCGCAGGTCTTCCCTCCCCTATAGGCAGCAGCGGGGGGCTTTGGGACAAAGAACTTGGTGCGGGCACCAGGCCCCTCTGCCCCCGTTTACGCATGTCCCCTCTGCAGCCCTCCGGAGTCCGTGACTTTGGAGTCACTCCCCAAAAGGCAAGTCTCGGGATCCCACGTGCAGACGTCTCCTGGGCTTTGGGGAGTCCTGTTGCATCCCAAGAGCCAGCCCCCTACAGCTGAGGGGTGTTTGTGTGTGAGACCTCGAGACCAGCGTGGGGGTGTGCCTGAGGATAAGTTATTACAATCATTTCACAAGTGTCTCTTGCCCAACCCTTGGCACAGGCGTGCGTTTGAAGACACCAGTATAAGGTACAGCGCTTTTGTCTGTTCTTTCCTTCTTTTTTAATTGTTTCCTTCCACTGTCAGCCTTCCACACCCAAAAAATACCTCACAGATAAGAGCTTCACCAAATCGCGGGCAGGGGTGGAGTTCGCCCGTCACAGTGGGCTCAGCCGGCTCTGTGGCGTGGTGGGAAGGTCTGGCTGCGCACGGCCCGCCTCCGGCGGGTAGGGCACTGTGACCGTAACCAAAGGGCAGAGGACTAGAGCAGGTTGACGTCGGGTGCTGTGCACTGCACCTGGCTGGCTCCCCAGGACGACAAGGGCTCAGAGGGCCACACACAGGCAAGATTTCAAGGCCACCTCTGCACTGAGGAGGCAGAATTGGCCCTGCACGTCATAATCCTGAGGCCGGACGGGGCTCAAGGTCCCTCAGCACTTCAACAAGATGTGTGCACAGGTAGTTTTAAGAGACTGGCTGCCAGTTGCCCCGCGGCCTTTGTCACAGGAGCACGGGGCCGTCTCACCACTGCCAGCCAGGCTGGGGCACTGCAGCTGGCATCTGCTCCCTGCCTCTTCACCTGGCACCCCACGAGGGAGGACCAGGGGATTTGGGCTGTGGAGGGCGGTTGGGGAGCCTTCCTGGGACCCCCCAGACTTTCTGCAGGGCCCAGCTTCCCGTTTGGGCCGCGTTTTGACTCAGACGCAGGTGCCTGTAAGGAGCACAGCACAGGCACTGGGGACAGTTTCACATTTTTATTCATTCAGCTGGATCCTTTGGCCAGACGTCACTTCTGTCCAGGCTGCGTGCTTTCATTGGTTCCTTTTCAAGGGCTGAGCCTCCTGAAAAGCCATGAGTGCACAGGGCTGGGGCAGTGACCCTTGGGGTCGTACCCCTCTCTTCCCGTCTAGTCATCGGGCTCAGCCCGGGCAAGGCTGTGGGCAGGAGGCCGGCCAGTGCGTCTCAACCTGCCTTTGCCAACCCAGGAATGTTCTTAGCCTTGCAGACTCATCTTTGCTCCACTTTCAAGCCCCACAGAGTGAAGAAAGTTGCCTTGGAACCACTGTCAGAGGCAGGAGGCATGCGTTTGCAAATTGGGGAACTAGTTAAGTGTGTGATTAATTTTTTTAATGAAAATTTTAAAATGGCCTTGATTGGGGTGATTCCGATCTTGCTGCAAACGTGGCATTTTGTGGCATTGAAGAGCAGTGAGAGAATTACGAGACAAAAGCCAAAGAGCAGCTTCTCTTGTGATCGGCGTCCCCAGAGCAGGTACCCGGCAGGACTCTTGTTTGGTTTTCTCCTGCTCAGGCCCTTGTGTATAAGCCATGAGGAAGTGTTCTTCTACCTGGTTATCTGAAACATTCTGTGAGTTATTAGCTAAATAGAACTGTACTGGGGTTGTACTTACAGGCACCTAGAAAGAAAACCAGGCACCTGGTAGACCAGGATGAGTAAGTTTGCTATAAAAGAGCAAACAGCCCTTCTTGGGTTCCCTAGACAACTTGTGGACTTTATAGCCAGAGGAGAAGAGGAAGATTATGGCCTGATCCCAGGCCCCAAAGCCAGCCTCCAGCCTTCTCCCTTGCCTCATTTTGACCTTTAGTTTTTTTCTGGCCGCCTGCCACTAGCTCCCCACCCTGCTGCCAACCCCCCCCCCCCCCCCCCCCCCCCCCAGGTAGGGTCATTCAAACGCCGCCTGGGTGGTCTGAGGAAGGCCAGTGACCCAGTTTGGCAGACTATCAGGATTCTCTGTCTGATGTGTCCCTATCTGAGTGAATTGCTGAGTAAGGAGTGATCTCTCCATCTCTCACCTGGGAGGGCCAAACCGAGTCCTGTCCCCGTCACTGCATGTCCCCAGCGCTGGACTTCATTGCTCCGTGGGGAGTGCTGGAGTGGAGACCTCTTTCAGCTGAATCCTGAGCTGATGATGCCATTGAGTCCTGGGTGGCTGGAGGGGATCCCAGAATTCTGATCACCTTCAAGGCTTCCATTGCCTTGTTCCCGTGGGCTTGAGTCCCACTTGCAGAAGGGAAACAGGAATGTGAGGGCCTGAGAGAATTCTGTCTCTCCACAGTCCTTTGCAGGCTCTCTTCGTGTGCCTTTCTCACGTGTGTGAAAGTGTGAGAGCTGTGAGGGCCGCTGGGACTCTTGCAGAGCGTGTGTGAGACGTGACCCCAAGCCGTTGTTGCTTGGTGCGCTTGTTAGTAAAACCCCGTCTGCCAGGAAACCACATTCTTCCTGCTCTCCTTTGTGCCACAAGTAGCCCTAATTTCCCAGTTACTACGTGAACTAACTTTTGAAAGCAATAGAAAAAAATGAATAAAATATATTAGCTATCTGTTGTTCTGAGCCAGAACTGGACTGATTTGGGAAATTTCCAGAGTGTGTGAAAATTTCAACTGTGGGGCAAAATTATTTTTCTGTCTCTTCTTTTACTACAGAATGATTCAAAAACTCAATGCTATTATAAAATCGTGCAAAATATTGTTACTAAAAGTTATTTGAGATGTTACTGTTACTGTAAAGTGATTCAAAATACCATGACAATAAAACTACATCAACTTGTAGACTATTAAAGTGCTCTCCAAACACGATGATGTCTACTGGGTCTTTTGTGTGTGTGCAGAGTAGGAAGACAGTGCATTTTGTTAACTGCATTTGGTCCCCTCTGAGCTCTGGATTCTTAAAGGGACACAGGGGTGTCAGAAGTGGGAAGGGACTGAGACTGTGCAGTCTAGTTAAGTGCCTCATGACCATGTTTTGACCAATGGAGGATCGAGTAGACAAACGTGGTCGCTAACAGGATAATGGGGCTGAAAAGTCAGTCGCCTGGTGACGTAGCCCTGGACGTGGCAGTGCAATGTACTAGTCACGTTCGTGGCACTGCTGGGTAAACAAATCTGCTCTGCCCGCTGTATAAAAGTGTAGCTCGGACAATTATGTACAGTGCCTCGAAGGACTTTCATGGGTTTGTGTAGTTTCTGTACAATACCATTCATTGCTTTTTTAGAGTTTATTCTTTTCTACTTTTAGAAGGGTTTGCTGTAAAACAGGATGCCATGTTACACAGCTTATCCCCTTCCCTGTGGGAGTCTCCATTGGTTTCCTATTGCTTCTGTCACAAATAAACGAATTTGGTGCTTACTGCAACTCAAATTCACCCTGCAGTTTTGGAGAAAGTGGCCGCAGAGGGTCAAGGTCAGCAGAGCCGCGTTCCCTCTGGTGGCTGTAGGCGAGAGTCCATTCTTGCCCTTTTCAGCTCCTAGAGGCTGCCCACATGAATTGGCCGTGGCTCCGTCACTCTGACATCTTCCGTCCTCACACCCCTCACCCTCCTGCTTTCTTCTGAGGACTCGTGGGATTACATCAGGCACACCCAGATCTAGGAAATGCCCTCATCTCGTGACCATTAACTTAGTCACACCCATAAAGTCTCATTTACTTTGCAGAAGATATTCACAGATTCTAGGGATTAGAATGCAGACATCTTGCAGGGGGAGGAGGCATTATTTAGCCTACTAAAGTATTCAAAATTTTTTTGGTGGAAATGACTATCCCAGGGATATTAGGTGCATTTTCTTCAAGCATTGCTAAAAGTGGGGTTTGCATTTTCCTCGGATTGGAAACAAGTGAATAAAGTGAGAAAAAGAAGCCAGAGAAGGTCCTAGGTATGACTTTAGGTGTGCAACACTTTCCGGAAAAGCCCTGGTTATGTGGATGCCCCTAGGTGTGCAAAGCTGCATAAGGCCCTCCTACCAACGGATCAGTAGAGGGCCCCTGCTTTCCCTGTGGGACCCAGCCCACAGCAGGCCTGGCAGGAGGTCAGACCCAGCGACAGACTGAATGGGTCAAAAGTAGATAGTGGGAGGCACACTCTCCTATAGCAGATGGACACCAAAGTGGGCTGCAGACACCATTTGGACGATGTCACCATGCTTCATTTGCAGCTCGGATTGTTTTCATGGAAAGCCTGTTAGCAGATTTTATTAAAAAACTATTTACATGGGCAACATAATTTCACTATTAAGAAAAACTTTGCTAAAGCTGTCCATTTCTCTCACTGATCCTTGGCTGGTTTCTTATCCTGAATGTTGCTTTCCTAACAATGCTAACAATCCAATTTCAGCTTGTTTGGCATTTAAAAATGCCCAAGAGGAATGCCTGTTTCTGTGTGAATTAGTTTCCATGTTTCAGTCTCACTGGATGTTCACAAAGGCTGTGGGTTGTACTGCACTTGGCAAAGGAAGATTAACCTTTGTGTCTCTTAGTTTTGTGGTGACAGAACTTCTACATGGTGACGTGTTCAGAGAAGCCCACGCAGGTGCCCTCTGTCCAGCAGAGGCCGTTCAGCTGGAAGCATTCTTTACTTAAAGCCTTACCAAGTAGGCTGCCCATTTTATTAAAGGATAGAAAATGTCCAAGAGCCCAGAGCTGGTGAGTAGAAGTATCATCACGACTAGAGATGAGGTCTTCTGATTGCTAACTGGCAAGGGGGATGGGGTGAGGTGCACATGTGATCACCATTTATGCCCAGACAGGGATTGGCCCTGGGTCCACTCTCGTGGTCACCCTCTGGCAAATAGTAAGCCCATGCATGGGCAGAATAGCCTTGGGGTCAAGAGTACAGATTCAAGGTCTAACTCAGGCTCCACCACCTAATTGCTCAATGACTTTATGCAGATTTAGTTCCCTGATATTTGAAAATGGGGACAACATAACTTCCCTTAGGGAATTATGCTAGGATGGAATTAGGCCAAGTAAAAAGCTTAGAGCTCTTAATTGCTCAATAAGAATGACAGGCTTTAAGACTTCATTGATTTTTGTACTGGGATGTCCAACAAAATAAATTACAAATGGACTAAAAGTGGAAAAAATAACACAAACGCTAAACAATATGAAAAGACCACATATGCAATAGAAGACACTATAAAGGAAAACAGTGGTACACTGAAATACATGAAAATGAAAATTAGGTGCAAAAATATTATAAGGAAATGGTACAATATACAGATTGCAATGGATTTGATAGCCAAAGAATTCAAATCCTTTATAAAAAAGCTCAACAAATATGCAAGAGAACACTGAATGCATGTATCAAGAGGAGATACATCAAGTGATATGTGTGTGTATATATATACAAAACACACATCAAGTAAAAGGAAGTTCTTCAATTATGAAAATTGCAAAGGAATTATAATGAAAATTATAATGCACAGTGCTGGTTAGCATGCAAGGAAACATGTTAATTGGTGAAAGTGTTTATTGGCTTAATTTTTTGGAAGGCAATTTGAAAGTATGTACCAAGGGGTAAAAATGTCCATAAAATGGACCTTAAAAATATCCATCTGATCATTCTACATCTAGAAATTTATTAGACATGAAATAATTCAATACGGAATTTTTTTAAAAAGTGTTAAGCTGATAACCCAACTTCCTAACAAGAATAACCTTAAACTATCTAGTTCTCTAATGAGATATCTTCAAAGAGTATTTAATATCCTTAAATTTCAGGACAAAAAATCCACGGAGACAAAAAGGAAGTACAAAGACATTTCTGGTACAAGCCCAGATTCGGAAAAATACGTGTGTGGATAGACGCATATTACAAGTGCGGCAGAAAAAAAAAAAAAAAGAGCCTCGAGGGAAGAAATTATGACGTTAACAGTAGTGATCTCGAGATGAGAACTGGCATTATTTTTATTCCGAATTTTCTATAGTTAACAAATTTTCTGTAATTTCCTCAGGAGGAAAACACGTTGTATTGAAGAGATTAATCGATGGATTGAGTGGCTAATGGGCAGTGTTCGAAGTCTCATCCGCTCCCCGGATTCAAGTCCCCTCTCAGCCGCAGACTTTTCGGGCCTCCCTAGGTCTTTGAGCCAGACACCCATTAAATCAGAGGGATTTACGAGATTACCCGAGATCTTCTCACTGCAAAAAATACCCACATCTTCAGATTTCCCGAAGGCCTTGGGGGCCATGTCGCCTCGGGACCCCGCGCTCTCAAAAGCCAGGGCCGCAGGTTGCCGGCCGCGGGGCCGGCTCCGACGCGCGCAGCCGCACTGCGGCGGGTCCTTCCCCCACGCGGTGGGAGCCGGAGCCCACCCGGTCCCGGTGCGCGGCGCGGCTCTGCACGCCCCCGCTGGGGCCTCTCATCCCGGGAAGAGGCGGGACAGCGGCCCCCAGTGCGCCGCGGAGTCTTCCGGTAGCTCCGGCCACAGTACGCCCCCCGATCCCCACTCCAAACCGCTCCCGGTCCGGTGTGTTTTCCTGAGTGCGCCCCCTTTACAGAGACTCCTCAAGTGGATCACAGCAGGGCGCTCTGCAGCGTGCAAATGACCTCGCACACCTCCGCGTTCCAAGCACAGCTTAAAAGATGACATTTGGGGGAAAAGCAGCGTTAAAATTCAAGCTGTGTAACCTTCACACTTTCATTACTTTCGCTAACAATACTTCCTAAGAAAGCCGCAGAACATCAACCCCCGGTAGGGCAAAAGAGTGTACGTAACGAGCCAGCCAGGAGTCGAACCTAGAATCTTCTGATCCGTAGTCAGACGCGTTATCCATTGCGCCACTGGCCCCGTACTACCCAAGCTGTCGCTCGCAATGTAGATTACCCCTTACGCAGCTTCAACTGGCTCCCCAATACAACTAGTTCATTTGGGCCTCAACGCCTGCCTAAGGCTCCTAGAGCTCCTCCCTTCCCCTGTAAACGCGCTCCGCCAATCCACAGCGGCAACGTCACTGTGCTCCTCCCCACTACGTCGGAGAGCGTCTCGGGCGTGCGCCGGAAGTTTGTCCTGGGCCGCGTCCCGTTCGTTCGCCGGCTCGAAGGGGCGTGGGGAGGGGTGGGGCCAGGCTGGGTGCTGCGGCCGCCGCGGCTGGGTGACCGGTGGCGCCGTAGCCGAGGTGGCGGCGCGGGGCGGGGCAGGCCGAAAGAGGAGGAAAGAGGCGGTGGTGCAGGATGGCGGCGACGTGCAGGATGGCGGCGACAACCTACGAGCGGCTGAGTCTGTGAGTCCTGCTGCGGGGAGGCCGTTGACCGAAAGGGGCAGAGGGCACAGCGGCAGGTGTGGGCCGACGGCCCCGGGGAAGGTTCCTGAGTCCCTGGGTGGCCGGCCGGTGTGGGAGTCCCTCGTACTCTTTGCCTTCCTCTCCCGGCGCGGCCTCCCCAAGGCCCCACCCGAGTCTCCACAGGCCCGGGAGCGACAGTTTCGCCAGCTTTTCTACATCCTGCTCGGCCTCCGCGCCCCTGGCGAGAGAGCGAAGCTGCAGGCTGAAGATGCAGCCCTTCACGTTCCTCCCCACTTTTTCTTTTTCCTTTTGAGAGGTGGCGGCTAAATTTGTCCTTATCGATCAGCAGAGAAAGTTTCTTATTTAATGGGCCCGTAGCACCACGTTGGAGTCCGCACATAAATCGACAAGCCTTTGGGCATTGAAGCTTGCCTGACCAATCTTTAGGATGCAGAAAAATGGGGGAAAAAGTAGTAAAAAGTAGTAAACTAAAGTCAATACTCTTACGGTCCCGAAAGGTTTACTTGCCTTTAAATATTACAGAGCTAAAGCGTAAAAGCAGGTTAAGTCCAGATTGATAACCAGAGGCAAATGTCGAGAATTTTGTCATTGCAGATTGGCTTTTCGGTAAGGTCAAGTTCTTGAAGCTTTGAGAAATAGACTCGGGTTGATAGAATTGTAAATTAGGTATTTGTAAGGTTTTTGTCTTGTTCTGGATCAATAAAAACATGTATTTCCCTTAGCATTACCATCTGACCCCTACACTTTCACCTGTGAATAGCTTCGTCCTCACTGTGTTTAATGCCTTAGCTCTAGACTGAGGATCCCGTGGCTGTAGTCTGAGAATGCCATTGGCAGCCGAAGCAGATGTAACCTTTGAGGAGTTCATTCCTCCCTACAGAAGTTAAAATACCTTGGTACTTAGACACAGGTACCCTCTTTCCTTCCTTTGCAGGGCTATGAAGACAGTCTCGGAATGTGGTTTGGGCCCTTTCAGTGCTCCCCAGAACCTCAAGCACGCTTAACTTTCTCGAAGGTTCACTTTAAAGTTAGGGTTGCAGAATTGGGAGTGAGGTCATTTTGACATCAGATATTGTCTGGAAAAGGTGAATGAAGATGACCTTCCCTGGAGTCCACTGCTTTTGCTGCTTCTGTTTAATGTAGTTCTTTTCGAAAGCCCCAGCTGCACACTTCCCTCCAGGTTTTCCTGGCCAAGTTTCCTTATTCTCTCCCATTTCCCCTTCTCAAGGTGATCGATCACCCTGGTGGTGAGTGAGTCCTTCAGTGCCTTTGACCAGGGTACTGGCTGGGCCACTGCCACCTGGGCTCTGCTGGCTAATTAGGTTATTGCCGTCTATCTGATAGTTACTAAAGGGTTTAATATGATCCTCTTCCAGGTCTCAGATGTGTTTAAGCGATACCGAGCCTTGGCTTGCTGCAGCTCAGAGTTAGGTTACGGAATGCAACTGAATTTTCCTGTGGGGAAGATTGAATGGGAGGAGAACTTGAGCTGCCAAAGAAACACTGAATTCACCAGTCCAGACCAAAAAAACAAAAGCAAAAACACTAAAAGCTCTGCATCCATAAAAGAAAGGAAATTTGGCCCTTAAGTGATGAGGCTGATGCTTTTGTATTGATTTTTTTTGTGAGAAGTGGAAACTATAAATTTGGGAGAAAAGTAAATCTAGGGTTATGTGAAAGTTATCCTCTAATTTGTCAGCCCTCGTTTCCTTGACACACAGTTTTGAGTGCTTGTGGAAATGTAAAGATACAATTTTTCTGCAACTTTGTTTTTCTTGACCAAGGAGTTTGGGAGTTGCCATCTCCCCGGTTCCTTCTTCTCTTTGGCCCTTCCTGCTCTGAGGGCGGGCGAGTCTGGGTGTTTTAATGTGGCCTGATCTAAGGAGAATTCTTTTTTAGATGCATGTGGAAGGGGGAGTAGTTTCCAACCTGCATTAGAATTAAGAGGACACAATATCTGTTTTAAAAAATGTGTCTCGAGATGTGTTTTAAGAAAGACGCATCCAAGAGATAGTTTGATAATATTTTATTACAAAAGCATTGCTACTAGGTTTATTTAAATATTGAAGTGCTTGGGATTTTAAATAATTTGTTCTCCATCATACCACACATTTTCTCCAGCCCATCTCAGTCCTGCTCTCAAGTTCACCTTCCTGATTGCTCTGGTTCAGCTTCTGCTTCCCTCCTTACAACCTCCAATTCCATTTTATAAATCCATAGGATTAAGTCCCCGTTTCTTAGCCATCTGTAGTTTCATTTTCTTCACAGTCTGTGCCTTAACTTTATTTCCCAAAACTGCCCGATGCTCCCCCCCACACCCTTTCTGCCAGACTTCGGGATTTCTTTTAGCTTCAAGCTTGGGCTTATTTTGAATGCCGTCTTCCTTTCTCCCCTCTTTACCTACTGATCATATCCAGGATACAGCTGGGAGACAGCAGGCTTTTTCAGTTAGAACGGACTTAGTTTCTGTTCCCAACCTTGTTACTTGCCTTGTGTCCTGACCATGTTGCTTATCTCTCTAAAATGATTTTTCATCCATAAAATGAGGACGTTACTATTTTGCAGGATTACTTTGAGGATTGAAAGAGAGCGTATATGACAAAACCAGGGCCCTTAACAGACAGACACTTTCTGTTAAGCGCTCCCCCCCCATGTCTTTCCGTCCCCTGAGCTGTCAGTGCCGTCACAGGGACGAGACACTAAACGCCTGTATGGTTTGCACATTCTGCCTCCTAGAAGTGAGTAACAGTGTATTTACTACTTGGTGGACCAGAGGACTGAGAGGTACAGTGGTCAGTCCACAGCGCTGTTGTTGAAATCATTGTGACAACCCCAACTAGGTTGCAGACGTGTGGAACATACTAGAAGCACCTTAACTTTGATTTTTTTCTCTGCTCCTCCTTAGTGCCTAGTATAAAACCCTAAAACCCTGTGCAGAGCAGACCCTCGGTGCATCACCTGAGTAAACGAAAGGAACTTAACAGTTTACTCAAAAATCGAACTGTCTGGAGTAGTTTGGAATATAGTCTTTTGAACTGGCAGCAACTTAAGTCGTTTCATGTACATATATTGGTGCATTTCCAATGGCTCCGTGAAGTTATTGGTTGATGTGTATCCTCCATCATTGCTAGAGATGGGGAATTGCCCTTGGCCCCACAGTCAGGTCACCTAGCCCAGCCATGGCAGAACTGGCCTTGGAACACGGCAGGCCCCATCCAGGGATCTTTCCATTGCCCCGCGTGATTCAAATTACCTTTGTCCGTTATCAGATCGCTCTTACCTTCGTCCTCGGACGCGTCCGGGGTGGAAATGAGTCGCTTCTCATTGAGAATAGTTGACACATTCATGTGGATTTTTAATATAGGAAATAGAATTTTGATTTGTTTAGAATTTAAAACTCATACTTTTGAAACACCCAGGCAGTTCTAAATAGCCTATTCTGTGTCTCCTTTTTGCCTTAGAAGTCATTCGTGTGTAGATAGATGGATAATGCCGGACAATGATAAATTTGAAATTACAAAGTAATTGCAACAAAGCCATTATTGGAAACAAAGATTTTATTTATTTATTTTTGAAGAGGGAGGAGAGAGCAGGAGAGACACCCGTGTGTGAGAGGGACATCGATCCCTGGCCTCTCGCACACACCCACCCTGGGGCCTGGCCTGCAGCCCCGGCTACAGCCCTGGCCGGGACTCACACTGGTGACTTTTGGTCTACAGGACAACGTCCACTCCACTGAGCCACACCAGTTGGGCCTCAAAACATTAAAAAAAATCTTTTAAAAGGTCAACTGAAAGGGGTGCAGTCCTTTAGAAAGTGAGTCAGGCTGCAGTTTGCCTCTGAAGAAACATCATTTCCTCCCATAGGAAGTTGCCTTTCATCTTAAAAGACTGTCATAGCCGTGAGGTCAGTCAGGGCAGGTACGATTCAACCCTGAGAACAGATGTGAACTAAGCTACAGTGTGACGCAGACGACTATGGTCTGCGTAGTACAGTGAGCATGCAGACTGTTCACAGGTCTGTCTGAGGGCGGGTGGAGGGAAGCTAAGATTATCCCCGGAAGTTTAGGCACCAGTGATAGGGAGTTTGTATCTAAGGCCTTGCTTCTGGCTGGGCAGTCTAGGTCAGGGCCAGGCTGCATTAGATTACTTGCTGCGCTTGTTTTGGGTGCATGTTCTGGAGCCCCACATTAGGTCTCCTGGGGCCTGGCAACCTGCAAGTTCAACCGGCTGTCCTGCTGGTTCTTTTGCTCTTCCACAGGTGTTTTAGGCCTGGGCTGGCTGAGTGGGGACCGGAGCGTGCTGGTAGCAGAGCACCCTCTGGCGTGCCTGGGCTCTGGAAGGGTTTGCTGTGGGTGAGAGCTTCAGATGAGGCAGCATTTAGATCTGATCTTACTAAGGAGACTGGTTTTTGGAGAGAGTGGGTTTTACGGTGGACAGAGAATAGGAAATAGATGGGACCTTCAGGAGTTGAAGAAGATGAAATTAAAAAGAATTGGTTTCCTAGAAATATCAGCTTGGGTTTGAGATTGGGCTGGCTCCTGGGCTGCCTGGAAGGGACCTGGATTATGGGAGAGGCGCCCAAGAGTCACTCAGCTAGGGAGGCACTGCCAGGACCCAGAGGGAGGAAGGATCGGGGGTGTCGGCAGCACCTTCTGGGTGTGGGTGTAGTAGGCTCACAGGGCTCCTCTTCACTGTCAAGTTCTTACTTTGTTCTTAGCCAATCTGGTAAAATGTTATGCCCGTGTGTTTTCAACTAGAGATGTGGTAAGTTCAATCATTAGGACTTTGATTTAATTCTTTATGTTAAGATTTTTGGGGAAGTATGTTCTTGCTACAGTTTTCTGACATGGCAATCACTGTGCTCCTATGCAAATAGTAATTTTGTTGTTGTTGGTTTAAATTGTGGTGAAATATACAAAGCATAAAGCCATCTTAAGTGTACACTTCAGTGGCATTAAGCACGTTCACATGTTCAGC